TATAAACATATGAAAATGTTGAAAATGGACGGTCTAGATAATGTATTGCAAGATGCATTATTTCTTGGACTCAAAATCTTTTTTTTCTTTCATATTTATACATCTTGATGTCGAGACGATCAATTAAAGGTTTTTTCAACATCAAAATAACCTTCTCCCATGGATTTTTGAGGTGCATCCGTAATTCTACATATTAAGGTTGCAACCTTATATAAACTTTTTCCTTTATAGATATCTGATTTCTATTTGTAAGCATGCTGCCATTCTTTTGTGCATGTCAAAATGTGATGAATTTGCCACATGTGCAGGAGGATTTTTAGGTTCACTTTTCATGGTACTTTTGGTTATTTCCTTGTTTGGTTCGAGTAATGTGATAGACAATTCAAGAGCAATTTTGGTGAAAGCAAATCTCAGGTAGAAATGATCATCTGCTTCTATTTACTTATTTATTCTATTTGATCAGAAATCAACATCTTACCTTGTTGTAGAATGAATTGAAGGTCTCTACCAGCTATAAAAGCCATCCATAACCTTCTGATAAAATTTCCTCTTAGAAACCTCTTATATAAACCATCTTCTCAGTGCTTATGTGAAATCTGGTCCTCTTGACGGTGCCACACACTTGTTTGAAATTCATGAGTCAAACTTGATCTTATTTTCCACTATCATTTCTGCTTATTCTCACTCTAACCAGCCCCAAACTGGTTAATTCTTCTGACCCAGATGCAAATTCGTGGTTTCTCACCATATGAATCTGGCTTCTCTAGCCATTTCATGGCTTGTTCAAGCCTCAAAGCTCCAAATCAAGGAAAGCAAATTCACACACAGGTGATCATCTCTGCTTCTAGTTTAGACCCATTTGTCCAAACAAACATGGCAGATTTCTACTCCAAAATTGGGAATTGCAAATTAAGTTTTTTATGAAATTTTGTGATATTGTGTTTATAATATTTAATGCCATGCTTGTAGGTTTTGTGAACTTGGGTCGTGGAGATAAAGCTCTGCTACTCTTTTTGGAGGCTCTAAGGATTGGGCTAAGGCTAGTTTGAGTCCAACATTATTTTTCTGTGTACGGGCAATATGAGCTTGGAAGACCAGGCAAACTGGTTCTGATTAAGGTTGGGTTGGACTCTAATGGCTTTTGGGGACTGCTCTTGTCAGTATGAATGGTAAATTTGACAACATATCCAGTGCAAGAAAGTCCTTCGACGTTATTTTTAATTGGGACCTTGACATGGCCTTGTGCAATGCGTTGATTGTTTGGTATTCTCACATTGGCCTTTATGGATCTTTTCTAGAGTTCTTTAGAGAGAGAGAGTGGTGATTGGTTATGGACTGCCATGTGGGGCTGTTCTTAAAGCTTGCACTGGGCTCAAACTACTGAAATTTGGAAGGTCCTTCATGTCTTGATTGTGAAATTTGGATACTCATTTGTGATTACTTGTGCTTGCACTCTTTTATTGACATGTATTTTAAATATGGGAGTGTAGAAGTCCCTGGATTTTTAACTAAATGCGCAAGAAATATACAATTTCATATAATTCAGTGATGGGTGGGTTAGTTGAGAGAGGGGATCCTAGAGAGGTTATTATACTGTATCAGAAGTCTTTATGGCTCTCTTGAATGCGTATAGTTCTTTAGGTTTCATAGAAACTTTGAAAGTAGTCTATGTCCAAGTGGTCAAACATGGGTTTGGCTTGGATTCAATGGTACAAAATGCTCTTATTGATGCCTTGATAAAAGGTGGAGATATAACAGATGCCAAGATGGTTTTGTGAGGCGATGCAAGAAAGGAGCATTGTGTCATGGACAATGATGATAGAGGGCTTCCCTCACTTGGTTTCCAATAAAAAGACATTGGAGTTGTTCAGAGTGATGCAAATGGATGGTGAGAAACTGAACCCTTTTTACAGTTCTAGCATGTACATGCTTACTTTCCTTAGTCAAGGAAGATGCATCGATGGATATGGCATAAACAATGGGATCATGCATGTATGCTAGTTTGTGGAGTGTTTGAGTGAATGGAGGGTCATGATTTGATCTCATGGAATCCCATGATGCATGGGTATGCTCAACATGGTAATGGTAGAGAAGCCTTGCATCTATGGGATGCCATGAATTATGCTACATACGTGTGGCATGTCCAATTGCTGATGGTAGATGATGGCCCAAGCATCTTAAAATTGACAGTCCATGAGCATTGCATGTTGCCATGTGTGGAGCAAAATGCGTGCATGGTTGATATGGATGGTGGGGCTGGGACGCTAGCTAAGGCCAAGCGGTTCATGGATGGCATGCATGTTGTGTGTTCATATGGAGGACATTCTTGGGGTAATGCCATCTTCATGGGGATATGAAGATGACAGAGCACACGTGAAAAAAAAGTGAAGATTGCAGAATAGGCCAGGGACCCTGCCTTAGAGTTGCAGCCTAGGGGTGGCAACGGGCTGGGATGGACCCGAATTCACAGGACCCTACTTGACCAAAAAATATAGTGTGGGACCTAAAAATTAAAATGTTTATATATTTAATTATATTTAATATATTAGGACCCAAAAAATATTACCAAACCTGATTACACCCGCATCCGGACCCGAATAGTGCTCGGGTCTTTTAGTTGAGAACAATCAGATAGCTTGGGCATTGTTTCTTGGGCATTGTTTCCAAACTTGTGCATTTGGAAGAAATAAGAGATTCTAAACTAGTGGGGAGCTCAAGGAGAGCTTCTAGCTGCTTACATTCACATAAATGCAGCTCTCGTAGTTCAGAAATGTGAGATAATGTGGCCATGGTTTACAATGAATCATAGTAAAAAGCAACAAGAGATCTTAATCTGGTGGGGGGCTTAGGGAGAGCTACCAGCTGCCCACAAGTATATAAACACAGCTCTCTTAGTTTAGAAAAGTGAGATAGCTTGGGTATAGTTTTCAAACAGTCGCATTTGGAATCATTACGATATTCTAAACTTGTGGGGAGCTCAGGGATAGCTACCAGCTACTCACACGCACATAAATGCAGCTCTCGTAGTTCAGAAATATGAGAGAGCGTGGCGATGGTTTGCAACTGTTTGCATCCAGAAACATCCAAATATTTCAAACTGCTAGGGAGCTCAGGGATAACTACCAACTGCTCACAATCATGTAAGGTGAGATAACATGGCAATGGTTTCAACCTTTTGCATTCGAAAGCATCCAAATGTTTCAAACTAGTGGGGAGCTCAAGGATAGCTACCAACTGCTTACAATCATGTAAACGCAGCTCTCGTAGTTCAGAAAGGTGAGATAACATGGCCATGGTTTGCAATCATTTGCATCCGAAGGCATCCAGATGTTTCAAACTTGGGGGGAGCTTAAGAATAGTTACCAGCTACTCACAATATCGGATAGATAGTGTTTCTAGTTGAGAGAGGCCTTTCATGCCACTGGGCAGGCCTTGGATATTGTTGTGGCTGATATTAAACTTTTTCAATGAGGAGAACTTTTCAAAGTCATCAGGAATCATCCCCTGCAGGTCACAATACTTAGCATTCAATTCCTCCAAGGAGCAAAGACCTGAGAAAGTGGGCAGAAGCCTTGCCAAACTCGTGCTGAAGCTTATATTGAGTGTCGGAAAACTTGTAAGACTTCCAAAGCTTTTTGGGAACTCTTTCAACTGTCTACACTCCCACATATTCAACTTTTTCAAGCCATGAAGAAGTTCAAAATCATCAGGCAATGTTGTTATAGCAGTATTATTCATCATAGATAACTCAGGGACCTTATCTTTCCCATTGATGATGGGAATCTATTGAGTACCTTTGCAGCCACTCACATTCAACCCCTTAAGGTTCACTAGTGAGCCAAGCGAATTTGGCAGTTCCTTGAGGTTGTCGAATCCTCCAAGATTCAGATTAAATAAATTCTTTAGAAGGCCTATGAAGTCAGGAATCTCAACCAACTTGCAGCATCCAACAAGATTTAACTTCTCCAAGTTTGGGTACAGAGAACAGTCGGAAATTCTCTCTAGGTTGTGGCAATAGCTGAGATCAAGAACCTTAAACTTTGGGAAGAGCTATCCAAAAAAATTGGTTCACCGGTAAGATAATAGCCATGATAGATTTCAAATATGCAATAAAGGAAACAAAGGGGGAAAAAAGAGGAAATGATACAAAACGATGTTAAATATAAGTTCCACACCTGCTTGATGTTGTTGTTTGATAAGTGAAGGACAGCCTCACTATATGACAAGTCAAGGACAGCTAGCTCTTCATGGCTAAAATCATTTGGGAGGTATGGTAAAGGACATCGAGGCCATTGTAGCCACACCAGTTCTGATGAAAGGTATCTGAAGTTTCCAACAAGAGATGCTCGATTAATGCTGAGTAGCTTCAAATTGGTCATTGGTTTAAATGCTTCGGTTTCCCAACTGACCTCCCTTTCATTCCCCACGAGCATTAGGCCTCGAACCTTATAAATTCCCTAATCGACAGTAAAAGTAAATGTCAGCCAAGTAACATGATGTTAAAAAAATAGAGTTTTGATGAAACAGAGTTAAATCGATACTAGTAAAACAATTCATTAAAAGTTTTCTCCAACAAGAGAAAAACGAGCTAGTTTAGTAATTTCTCACCTTGAGATACTTGAATACATTAATAACATGTTCTTCAGACCACAACCTCCTATGCCTTCCAGGATCACACAGATTTTCTAGTTCAACAATCCATCTCCCCATATCACGAAGTTGATCATGCATCTGCAACCTATCCTTAACATCAATCTTCATAAGTGACCTCTGCAATAGTTTTTTTATGGAAATTGAAGCAGGGAAACCACAACCTTTCCATATATCGATTGTATAATCTTTTGTTTCTCCAATAAAGAAGCATGCAATGTCAAGAAATATATGTTTCTCTTCTTCATTCAAATTATCATAACTTATCCTAAGCTTTAGCGTGATGTCATCTTCAGGAATTCTTTTCAACTTTTTTACTGCATCTTCCCACTCGTCAATGGTCGTCTTATCCCATAAGTGACTTCCCAACACTTCAAGCGCCAGTGGAAGCCCACCAGCAGTGGACACCATATCCTTCGAGAACTTTGCATGTTCTTGCATGGGTTGATCCCTCCCAAATGCGCACCAACTAAACAATTCAAGAGATTGTGTGTCATCCAACCCGTCTATTGTAGATATGACCCTTACGCACTCTATTATCCACGTTCAACACATTCTCATCCCTGGTGGTGATGATGATCCGACTTCCCTCACGATATCAATCACGTTCAGCAGCCAATATTTCAAGCTGACTGTGGTGATCTACATCATCAATTACCACAAGAACTTTCTTAGACCCAATTATATTCCTCAAAACATTGATACCTCTATCAACATCATTTATAGGGTGATCTCCCTCGTTGAAAAGATCCTTAAGAAGTTGCTTTTCTAAGGTGACAAATCCACCGTATGTTCGAGATGCTTCCCTAACATCCGAAAGAAAACAACTCGCATCAAAACCCGAATATATTTGGTTGAATACTGCCTTGGAAAGGGTGGTCTTGCCAATGCCACCCATGCCATAGATCCCAAAAATCAGAACATCATTCGCATTAACATTTAAAGAGTCCCATCACATCATCAACCCGAGAACCGAGCCCAATAGGGAATTTAGCAACATGCAATGGTGTTTTGTAGTCCAACTTAGCAAAACCATGCTCAACAAGTTCATTCACCAAATTTGCTTCAGACCTATATAACATCCTTCTTCATTAGGCAATTAAAAAAAGAGAAATTTGAACAGCTTCTTTTTATAAGTAAATAGCAAAATTTAAGTAATTCAACAGTGATTTTGATAACCATCGTCCCAAACAATATCGCCCGGCTAGTAATATGGATATAATGCTCATGAAGTCTAAGGAGGACATCAGGCCACATTTCATATATCTATGAAAATAATCATAACATAAAAATATAAATGGGCGTTGTCCCATCAATTCCCCTTTTTCTTTTTTGAAAGTTATTTTCTATGCATTTCCTCAGAGAGAGAGATTTTTCTTTTTCTTTTTGTTTCAAGAAATCTTACAGAATTGGTGATACCTGTAATTCTTCACTTCCCAACCAGAAAGACCGCCAACTTGTTTCAAAGCATTTCTCCACCTCTGCACTGTCTCCTCATCAAACCCATTCTTAGTTCTGTGATCCAAAAAAGCTCCCTCGAAGGCCCCTTTTGCCAGCAAACATGCGATGGCTCCACATTATAAAACACAGGAAGGATGACCGGCGTCCTTGGCAAAGTCAGTAAATAAGAGAGCTGGTCAAGGCAGAAGAAAGAAGAAGCATAAATGGGGGAAACAACGGCGACAAACACCTCGCATTTTTCAATGGCTCTCTGTGTATCATTCGGTTGCTGCTGTTGCTGTGATGTGGGTGAGAAGAAGGTGGAGATACCGTGATCGGTGAGAGCTTTGTGGAGATGGACTGTGAAGCTCTTTCCCGTGTCTTCATTACAGAAGTTCACGAGAAGTTCCATGGATTTATGTAGGGTTTCGTCTCTCTATATCCATCTCTATATCAAAGTTAGGCGCACATTCAAATAGTGTCGAAAATTATCGTTTAAAGAAAATTTTTGTGACGGCCCGAAAACATATTTTGAACTTCAAAATTAATGAAGATTAAACAGATCCGAACGCTTGAAAATATTGAAAATTGACTGTCTAGATAAAGCATTACATGATGTATTATTTCTCAAATTTGAAGTTTATTTTTTTAAGGTCTATATATCTCCAGGTCAAGATTATTGGATTTGAGGGTTTTATAGCTTCGAAACAACTTTTTCTAGTGAATTTTTTAGGTGCATCTGTATTTGATTATTTAGGGCCTCAACCTTATATAAATTTTTTCATTTATTATAAGATGTAAATTTAGCATAAAAAATTCTCTTAAGGTGGCCTTATAATTCATTTTTGATCTCTAATTATGAATTTTTAAACTCAAATAATGGTTCAAATCAAGTAGATCTATAAAAACATGAAAATCATGAAAATGGACTGTTTAGATAATATGTTGCAAGATGGATTATTTTTTAGACTTAAAATCTTTATTTTTTTACATATTCATGCGTCTCGATGTCAAGATGATCAATTAGAAGACTTCCCAATATCTAAACAACCTTTTATACTGATTTTTTGATGTGCACCTTATAGAAACTTTTGGAAAATTGTTTGATGTGGGCTGGACCGCATGTCTACAATATGTGGTCCAAAGGTATAAAGCATCCATTTTAAAGATGAATACAAATAGGTGGTCTATCTAAAAACAAATGTAACTAGCGATCCTAATGTTTTCTTAATATAATTATTATTTCTAGTTTTCAAATTTTTTATTTTTTTTCATATTCATGATCTTCATGCTAAAGATTATACATTCTCTAAAAATTAGAATCAAATTATATTTAAATTTTATATTTATTGCTGAGCCTGTATTTCTATAATACGCTCACCGCATGGAAACCGTGCCCTAAACTTTTTCCAAAAGGATAAATAGTGTGTCCCCCATGCACGCAAGGGACCACCTGTACAGTTACTCCGTCGTGCATAAGAGATATTCGAGAAGATATTTTCGTATGTGAGGGGTTGGCAAGCACCAAAGAACTTGATATGGAGTGGATTTTGAGATCTTCAACGGTTAGATTTGACCGTCTGAAAATTGGTTAATATCTATTTAATTTTTATAATGTCATTTGTTCCAAATTCATAAAGAATGGGTTTGAATTTTTCTTTTGAGGTTTCTCCCTAGGTTGAAGATGTTATGTCCCCAAAATTTAAGGGCCTTAAAAAATACTCTTAAATTTAGATTGGGCTTTACCAAAAGGAAAAATTGTATATAAGGCTGCAACCTTAAAATTTAGAATTAAAGTGCACCTCAAAGATCCATTAGAAAATGTTGTTTTGATGTTGGACACCCCTGTAATTGATTATCTCAACATCAAGATTTATGAATATGAAAAACAAAAAGAAGATTTTGAGTCCTAAAACTACTGTATCTTGCGACACATTATTAGACCGTTCATTTTCAAGATTTTTAAGTGTTTATAGATCTACTTTATTTGAACTATTTTTGGAGTTTAAGACTTTATAATTAGATATGAAAATAGATTTTCAAGCCAGATTAAGAATTTTTACACTAAAATTATCTTTTATGATAAAATTTGTAGGTGCACCTTAATTTGATTGTTTAAGGTTGCAACCTTGTACAAACCATACCTTTACTAAAAAAGATCGAAGGGACGGAAACTCAAGCCAACAGTAATAGAATATTGCACGTATGAGTGTTTATGATAGAGTATTTTGGTCATTTGTTATTGCACGCATGAATGCATTGAGATTTCTAGGTATTTTTATCTCTTGGGTTCATCTATGCATATCTTCTCATTCTTTCTCTATGATGTGCAATAGATCTCCTAAGGGTTATTTTAGAGGGAAAAGAGGTCTTAGACATGAGGATCCCTTATTTTCTTTTTCTTTTTTGCTGGTGATGGATTTTTTTAGTAGGCTGTTGGATTATGCTACAAAGCATGGTATAATTCCTAGAGCTTTCCCCTCGAGCTGTGATTATGGAGTTTCACACTTGTGTTTATGCTGATGATGCTTTAATTTTCTGTGATGCTTCTGTTTCTACTATCAGTACTGTTAAATCTGTTCTCTCTACTTTTGAGGCAACTACAGGTCAGGAACTTAATATTGCAAAAAGCAGAGCCTTCTATTTTGGGGGTTCCGCAGGATAATAGATCATTGATTTTGAGAGAGCTTGATTTTGGTGAGGATCCCTCCCAGTGCGTTATCTGGGGTTGCCTTTATTTCATGGCCAGTTGAAGTATAGCCACTGTCATAGCTTGGTTGGCAAAGTCGTTGGAAGGATAGGTTCTTGGCAAGCTTTAATTTTATCATATACAAGGCATCTTTAGTGTAATATGATTGAAAGGTTGCAGAGGACCTTCCTATCAAAGATAGTTGCTAAAATTACTTCTCTATGCTTCATCTATTTTTGGGTTTTTGTATTCATTCTACCAAAACAAACATGTAATATGATGAAAGGTTGCAGAGGAACTTCCTATGGGCAGGCAAGGATGAGAAAAAGAGCGTGCATCTCCTTAAATGCAAAACAATTTGCTTACCTCAGGGCAAGGGGGGATTAAGAGTCCGTGGCATAGTGGATTTCACTATTATAGGAATGATGAAAATGGCCTGAAGAATTTTGGCTAATCCTTTTTCTCTATTTGCTCGATTCTTTAAGTATTGCTACTTCAAGATTCTTCCATATGGGAGACCAAATATAAAAGATATTCATCTTATGCTTGGAAGGGTATTTGGCTTAGATTATCTCATTTGAATAATGTTTGATGGGTTATTGGAGATGGTCGGCTTGTGGATTTTTTGGCAGACCCATGGTTATCAGAGAAGTCAATATGGGATTCTTATCGAATGACTGTTCATCAAGACCTTGAGGTTGCTATGCCAAAGGTCTCTGATTATATTGGTGGTGCTCCTCAGTCCTGGGTTTTACTCTCGCCTACATTAGGTTCTTTGATTCAAATATGGCAAGAGGTTGAGAGATTTATTATCCCATTACAACCACATAGGGATTCTTTAAGGGAAAATATCTCTATAGACCTTATTTTCAACTTTCATTTCTCCATTGACCTCAGGTTGCAAAACCTATCTTACTGCATAGAAATTCATTCTATTATATGTCCTAACCCCCTAAACATATTTTATTCATTTCTTACTAATTTGTTTGGCCCAAACAAAGTTAAAAAAGACATTGTTTCTAAACCTCTATCTCTTTCTTGACATGATTCCCTTTCTCTCTCCCCCTATCAACCTCCCAAATCCCTCTCTCTCTATCTTCCCCAACTCTTTATATATCTCTTTTTCCATTTTCGTTCTTTGAGAGAGAGTATAGAGAGAGAGAGGTCGTTTTCATTCTTTGCGAGAGAGTAGAAATGGAGATGGACGTTACCGTTTTAGAGAGGGAGAGGGAGAGTGGTGTTCAGTCTTTGAGAGAGAAAGGCTAGAAGTGGACATGGAGTAATCCACCTTATTTGAGCTGGAATTCCCCCTTGTTCCAATCGAAAACCAAGTTTTAAATCTCTCCCCCTCAACTCTCTCTCTCTCCTCAATAATGCCATATCCCCCTCACGTCTTTCTACAACAATGTCATCTCTCTCTCTACCCCCCTCCAACAATACCGGATCCAATCCTCAGACAAACCCAACTCTCTCTCTCTCTCAACAACAATTATATGCCTCCGGCCCTCAAAACAAACATAGCTAACGGCACTACACAACAAAAAAAACCACTCCCTTTCTAATTCTCTCTCGCAAAAGTGAATATAGGGCCTCTTTCATCTTTCCTTCTCTCTCTCTCTTTATTGCAATTCCATCCTGCTTCCAAATGTCTTCAAATCTGATGCAGGAAGAGAATAAAACCATAAAATGAACAATAAAAAGAAGGAAGGTTAAGAGAAAAATACCCTCTTTCAAAGATCTGCAAGAGAATCCACCCCCAAAACAAATCTCTTTCAAGAGACCAATTTTTATTCAATTCATAGACTGATTTACAATGAAAGGAGATGTCCCTTTAAATAGACTAAAATAAGATAATTAATAAAAAACTTCTCTCTACACCTATCTCTATTTTCTCTCTCTCATATTCATGGGCTTCTAGATAGCCACGTTTTCCCTATCATGTTTTACCCAAAAAAAACCTCACAAGTTGGTTATTGTTGATAAAGATAAACTCTCTTCTAAATTTACCCTTATCCTAATTATATCACTCAAACTAACCCAATTGATACAAGATAAACACAATATAAACTCTAAAGTCTCCCTACTAATTATCCCTGCGCACTTCCTAAACAAAAGAATAATTAAAATAATCATAATAAATAACCTTAATAATTTTCCCTTATTATGTCATTGCCGTTTCTTTCTCTCTGAGTATAGAACAAACTCTCTATGAATCAGGTAGTGCCCCTAGTAGCATAAGGCTTGCACCACTGCATAAAACTCGATGTCTTAAACCAAATACTTCTTACGTGCATCATTCAATTTCTCACTAAAGAATGCCAATGGTTGTCCCTCTTGACTTAGAACTGCCCCTATGCCAACATTTGATGATCAATTTCAACTTCAAACACCTTAGAAAAATCTGGTAAGGCAAGTACTGATGCTTGCATCACGTTTTGTTTAATTAGAGTGAAGCTCTTTTCAGCAGTGGGACTCCATGAAAACTTTTCAGCCCTTATACAATCAGTCAATGGTGTTATTAGAGTGCTGAAATTTCTGATAAATCAACGATAAAAGGTCGCCATGAAAAGAACGCACCTCAGTGAGTGACTTTGGCACGGGCCACTCATCTATGGCTTTCACTTTTTCTTGATTCACCTTAATTCCCTCAGATGAAACAACATACCCCAGAAAGACGGCATTGTTTGTCATAAATGAGCATTTTTTCAAATTCACAATAAATGATTCCTTCCTTAGCACATCTAAAACTTATTTCAAGTGGTTAAGATGATCATGTGAGTT